TGCACATCCTTCTAGTTGCTGTATGTGGGACGCAGCCTCAGCATGGCCGGAGAAGCGTTGCGTCGGTGCACGCCCGGGATCCAAACCCGGGCCGCCAGTAGCGGAGCGCGTGCACTTAACCGCTAAGCCACGGGACCAGCCCCAGCCTTTCCCTTTCTATGTGCCTCAGTTTCTTTACTTGTGTTCCAAACCAGGGATCCCAGGCATCCCAACAGCTTCCTGTCTTTTGACCCCACACATCAGTTGCTCCACTTCACCCTTTACCTTTCAGGGCAGCTGATCTCAGGGTGGCCAAGCGCAGGTGGGGGGCTGCCTCAGGCATCAGTCCCACTCAGGAGACCCAGTCTCTGCTGTTCTGCTTCTCCCTCTTCTGCCGCCTGGGGTTCCCTTTGAGGTGACAAGGGGTTCGTCTGACAAGCCGTCAAGGTGGGTGGGGAGGTTCTCCCCAGGGAATAAAAGGGAAGTCGGGACTAGGACACCAGAAGCAGAGCTGCTGGGAAGGAGGAGGGAGCCAGGAGGGGATGTCACTGTAAGGACCTTGCTGTGACCCCACACGTCACTCTCTCATCCCCAACTTTAACCTCTTCCTTCCCACTGCTCCTTTCCTGTGGAAGGTGGGCTAGTGGGAAACAAAATATGTGTCTGCACTGCGGACTCTGAGCTTCAGGAAATCAATTAAGAGGAGGGACTTCCTTTGGACCCCACACTACCAGGAGTCCTGCTCCTCTGTCCTCAGTCCTTCTATGTGGGGAAGGACATTGCTCCCACTCCTCCCCGTGGTCCACGGTGCTTCCAACTCCTTTCCATGCCTCTGGTCTCTGGGAAAGTCTAGGGACAAAAAGAAAGAAGGACCTTTTATGGTGCAGGGGCAGAGTATGTTCCCTGCTCTGGGATGCAGAACTCCCGGGTCTGGGTGCTTTTGGAGCAGTGCAGCACTGCATCCAGCAGGTGGCGCCAGGACCCAGCAACTCGTGGGACCCCAGGGAACCCGAGTGGGGCAGTTTCCTAGGCAACAGAGAGCCTTTCCGAAAGCCCTGCCCTTGGCAACCATTCCCTGGTTGCCCACATCCATAGTAAAATTTGCTTCTGAAGGACAGCAGGGGCATGGGAGTAAAATAATCTAATCTTTCAGGAAAGAGAGAGGCTGGGGGTGGGGCTGGGGAAGAGGAGTCTAAGGGACCGGCTTTCCTCTGCCCTTTGTTACTAAGCACCAGTCACTGTGGTAGATGCATTGTATCCTTGGCAGCCCTATGAGGCAGTAGCATGTATTCCTTTATTATGGATGGGGAAAATGAGGCTCAGAGAAACACAAAGTGACTTGCCCGAGTCACCAGCTGATAAGTGGTGGGCCTGGTTAGGAAGCTGGGCCTGTCTGGATGTCCCCATCCATTCCACTCCACCTCCTGGTGGCTGTGAAGTGTCCAAGCCCCCAAGGGAAGCTGGTGTGAGGGGGCTAGGGGCAAGGCCTGTTGGGAGACCAGGAACAGCAGCTGCGGATGAAGAGAGCCGAAGATGAATCCACCTCTTCCAGGCCAATATTCCTTGCCTGGCCCAGGTGGGGCACCCCTCTGCTCAGGGCTCC